CACCTGGGACAATCTGGTTGGCATCCCTGCCAGATGATGCAGAGGCCACGCTCCCTGCCTCCATCCCCTGGTCCCTAGCCCTCCCCACCCTTTTAGTCACCACTAGCACACCCAACCCCAGCCATTGCCCCCACAACCCATCCCCACCTTCACCCATTCCCCCCCATCCCTACCCATTCCAGGTAAATGAAATATTTTCCCTTGCAGTGGGGCTGCCCCGGGTTAACTGCACATTTATGCCTAGGGGACAGGAAACAGCTGTTTTACATACCTGATCCCTACACCCGCTGACTCCCTCCAGGCTGCTAGACCGCTCCCTGCAGTCTTCTATGCCCTTCGCACCAGCGTTCTAGGGATAGCTGATGTCATCATGTACAATGAAGGCTCCATAGCCTTGCCTGGTATGTGAGGATGCTAAGGGACAGTCCACAGCTGGAGTGGAGGGGGGAAAGAGAAGACTGCTGGGGAGCAGCGATCAGGTAAGTAAAATAGCTTTTTCCTGTCCCCTAGGCATAAGCAGTTAACCCTGGAGTTCTATTTTAAAGTATATATGAAGTTTGGGGGGGGGGGGGGGGAAACACATGCAGTACATATTTGCAATATACAATATGTATATTCCCCCGTTGTTTGTCTCTTTTTAAAAATGGTGCAAGTACCGAAAAATACCTGCCGACCTTTAGAAAACCGGTAAGGCTCCTAACTTCCTGTTTGCGAACACGCTGCCTCTGTTGCACTGAAATACCAAAGCTGGGTTGTCAGCCTTTTCTGCTGGACTACAGAACACCCTTCCCCTTATGTAATAAAGATGAGGAGAGAGGGAAGTCTAGTTTAGATAAAACAACTCATTTATATGGATTTCATATTTGCATTTTAGCGTTTTTAACGAGCCGCCGTGTAACAAAATCCACAAACATTATTTCATCATTTGTGTTGGCTTGACTGCAAAAATGTATTTCCCGCTTATAAACACTCCAGCATCAAGCACTCCAGAGAAACTCCAATAAAGGAGAAGTCATAAATTTAGTATTCATATATATGTATACAACCAGGAGAGACTGTAGACCATCAGAATTCCGGATAGAATGAACAAGATGACACTTCACGGGTTTGAAGAGTTTATTAAAGATGTACGAGTATGTGTGCAGAGTGCACCTCTAATGATTTATTATTATATTGTGTGTATCTCTACTAAGCAAATATTTGTATTATTATTAAGTTATTATTACAGTGTTTATCCTCAAGTAATGGTTAATGTAATTTCTTGTTATTGTTTTATGTAGATATTTTAAGTTCAAAGTGACACTAAACTCTAAATTGGCCTTTTGTATGTGCATGTGAGATAGGGACCTTAGATTTTAAGCTCCTTGAGGCCAGGGACTGATGTGAATGAATCCGGGATGGACACATTAAAGTGACACTAAATTCAGGAATTAAATCTTAAAAATACATTCAAGTACCTTAACTATTAACAAAAATGTATCTTATTTGTGTATCACTCGGGCCTTGTTCACACCAAGCGCGCTCCAGGAGCAGAGCAGTTACAGACCGGATCAAAACTGCGTCCAATGTATTCCAATGGTATTTTGGGCTCTAGTTCACACCGCAGCGTTCAGTTCCAGAGCATGTAAAAACAACTGCAGCAAGCCCTATTTTACCTGCTCTGGAACGCATGCAAACACATCGCAAACTCATGCAAACGCCTTGGAACGCACTGAAAGCCCATTTAAAAAAAAGAAAAGACAAAAACTGCCCGGAATGCATGAATAAACGCGGCAAAAATGCGGCACAACCCACTGCACTGCGTGTGCAGAAACTCATGCAGAACCCGTCTGCATTTGGCGTGAACAAGCCCTTAGCTGTAGGTCCTCCAATCATCTCTGAATTGGTGCTGACACTGTCCTTCCTTCTGGAAGGGGGCTACTTGTGTTCCCCATGGTCCCTGTGTGTGTTGTAAAGTAGTCACCGCTCCAAGCTCACTCCTGTGATGGACTACAATCTCATGTTTTAGTTTACTCATTTGTATTGGGATTGTAGTCCATCACAGGAGTGAGCTTGTAGCGGTGACTACTTTACAACACACACATGGACCATGGGGACAAAAGTAGCCCCCCTCCAGAAGGAAGGACAGTGCCAGCACCAATTCAGATATGATTGGAGGATCTACAGCCGAGTGATACACAAATAAGATACATTGTTGTTAATAGTTCAGGTATTTGGATGTTTTTCCAGGATTTTACTCACAAGTTTAGTGTCACTTTAATCCCTAAAAGGAGCTCTGTGTCTGACTAAAGTGGAAGTACATCCTGGAAATACTCAATGAACTATATACAGCCATATAACACATGCACCTTGATAAACGCATAGCACCATGTTTGACTTGAAACGCATGGTGTCACTCAGCCCCCCTCGTGCTCTCTAGGTTTTTGACAGCATCAGGGCACAGAGGAAGCCTTTACCTTTTCAGGCTTTGCAATGTAGGCCTCATTCACATGAATGTGCACAGCTGTACTGCATTACATGCCGCTGGCTTCCTGAATGGGACTTACGGTACTCGATATTCGGTATCGGTGAGTACCGGAAAAAATTATTGGTACTCAATGCCGGTATCGGTGCATTCCTATTTGTCAGCATTATATAATAAAATGAATAGCAAATAAAAATTCAGTCATAATTCGAGCCAGCTTTGTCTACTACCTTAAAAAGAAGGACTGCGCTAATGAATCGTACACACGCCTGAGTATTACACACTGCTGCCGTTAAACTGCCAGTTTAATTACCTAAGATGTGCCTTAACGCCGCGTTGCCCTTTAAAATCTAGTCCCCCGGGTGAATTACTGTTGTGATATTAACTTTTAGTTCATTTAGTTCTTTTCAAGTTTTCGGCCGTATGATTCAACAATTAGAGACAGGACTCTCGATGTGCTGCTTAACAGCCACTTATTATTGTAAGTACAGTAATAATAATAATGTTGTCAATTAACGAGATGTAATGAAAGAATACAGAAGAAATCAACCCCACTGAATAAAAAGGGACCAGATAGGTCAATTAGTTAATCAATCAGCTTTAATTAGGTAAACCAGCAGTTCTCTTGGCTTCAGGAAGGATTGTAGATTGAATGCGTCAACTTCAAGAACCTCGATTGCTCACTGTTTCAGTGTTGAAAGCTGGAAAACCCACTCTGTTGGGGTTGGGCCTGGCACAACCGGTCCACGTAGAGGTCCAACGGCTAATTGCAATCCACTGTGATTTCATCCCTTGCTGCCCATTGCGTTTTGGTGGTCTAAAACACCCCCTCCACCATCATCAGGGCTTAAACATGGCTGCCAAACTATCTGCTGACAAGCCTGAGGTACTCTTTCAATACAACTTTCAAGCTGCAGGGATTGTAGTCATCATACATGTTTTTTCTCCAAGTTTAAACCATATGTATAAAAAGTGATCCTTGTCAGCAGCAAAACCAAACCTGAAGTGGATGTAAAAGACTTTGTACCTCGCAAGTGTCAACACACAGGCTGAGCATTGTTCCAGAGCCCCAAAAATACCCCTCAAACCTTCTCCACAGGTTGGGCTCTGGTCCACCATCTCCAGCCATCCACTTCTTGCTGTAGGTTAAAGGTGCCCATCACACTGATGGGTCAATATTTGGCAATAGGCAGGGTCAGACCAGATGTTGACCTTATAAGTTCCGGTCAGTGCAATGGGTTTTGAGGCTCCTGGGGAATTCTTGAGCAAAGCCGAGTCTACAAACAAGCCTGGAGGCAGGGCTGGAATGAGGGGTTGGCAGAAGAGTTGGCCACCTTGGACACTTCAGCAAGAGGGGGTTGCAAAATGGGCAGGAACTGGAGTAGTTCACAGCTCATGGGGGGGACACTTTGAACTTTTGCCTTGGATGCTAAAGGACCTTGTCCAGGTACAGACTGGGAGTGTCTGCAGTAAAATCACACAACAATGTTGTCGCCCTGTGGACAAGAGAGACTTAGATGGACTTGTGGTTTCATATATTTTGGAAGTGTGGAAAGAAAGCACTGGACCCCTGTAGTTTTCCCTTTTGGCGTTTCTCATCCAACAGTAGTTAGGTGATGTAAATATGAGTGATCTGCCTTATGGGGGGGGGGGGGGCCCCTTTGCAAC